CAGTGAGATATACTATAACTTCTATAAAAGTGTTGCTGGAACTTGATGTGACATTGCCAGCTGCATCGATCCATTCAATCCCTGGAAAAAGGTTGTGAGCATCTCATCATCATCAAACTCCTTCATCTGGATTGCATCGATCTATCCACAAGTGCACTGGCAAAATGACTCACTGATTCTGCCTCGCTCTACTTACAGCTGTTGAGCTGGAGTTTGAGGTCCAGCAATCTTGCTTTCCTGGTCTTGCCAAGGATCAAGCATACAGCATCTCAATTCTCTTTCGCCATTCTGTTGATATCCAAATAGCTTCAGTACCTTGTCCTAGAACCCCCAACACCTTGCTATTCTTCACCTCTCACTCCTTTTTCTGATTTGTATCATCGTCTCCTGGCTTGAGATCGCTCTAGATCACTCCCCAAAGATCCTTTTTCAAGACTTTCCATGACTGGAAATCCTTTCCATCAAACACTTCCAAGGACAAGGTGGGCAATAAGTGAGAGCTAATCTATCTCTAATACCATGCAAAGACAAGAAAAAACAAAGCAAACTGGGCAGTGACAGGCTATATAAAAAAAGTGGAAGAGACAAAGCTACCTTGAGTGATACTAGAACATTCCCTCAATATGCCTTACATGGAGATTTGATACTTTCGAAGTTTACAAGGCTTGGAATGTGTAGCATTGGAGGAGGTGTCAATTGACCTTTTGAGAAAGGGAGTGTGCTTCGTCATTGCAAGTAGTGGTGATCATCATTATGACTGCCAACAAGAAATCCCTTGACATCCAGATAAGCGTTTTAAGTTGGAATATGAAGAAGTCATGGATTCATAGAACTTGTGGAAGGGGGTGACAATGAAGAAATGGTCCTTGTCAACGTCTGCAAATGTCTTCAATGTCGTATATTCATTTCCCAGGTTGGCTCCTTCAGTGTTGGTGACAACGTAAAGGCAAGGCTGGGTCTCATCAATCACATCCCAGGTGGCTCGACTGGCTGAACTTGCTTCAATGCAACTATCTGATTGCAAGGAACATCAACCTAGCCTTCATCGACACATCTGTTATTCCTGAGTCTTTTGTCTGATCTATTACTGGATAATCCATCAGATTGCTAGAAATA